AATCGTTTGGCCAAGGCCAACCATTATGCGAGCCAGCTTCTTCGACTTGTTGATGGCCTTGTGGGTGGACAGGCACCCCCACTACCAGGCACGGCTTAAGAGCAACCAGCTTTCCGACGCCTGGGAAAAAGGTTGGGGCAGGATACTTATCCTCCTGTCCACGCTTGCCATGGAACCTACCAGAGGGTCCCTTTTAAACGTCTCAAAAGGTTAACCTTTTTGCCAGGTCCTTTAAAAAACCATGGTTGCCAACCAACCAGACGTATCCTGTCCCTTTCAGCCGCAGTTTCTGCGCACGCGAGCTGGTGTCAAACCGCATCGCAGCTTGGACAGAGTTGGCGAGCTGTGCGTTGACCGAAAGCTGAAGACTCGCGGGCGTGACTGACATTCTGCTATGAGATGTGTTTTCTCACAACCTATCCGAGGTTCCCTGATCTATCCAGGTTCGTCAAAGCGACACTTGGTTCCAGAGGAATTCCTTAAAGCTTCAACTTGCCCCTTCGTAAGTGGCAAGTACTGCGGTATTCCACGGGCAACTCTGCAGACCCCAGCGCCCGCGCTCTTGCGGAAAGCAGATGGAGCGGCTGAATGGCCCGCCCTTTGACACATCTGCAAGGCTTCCCCTCAGAAGTTTGATTTATCTTGACTGCTATTGGGTTTTTGCAGGGGGGTCAACAGCAACCAAGCTCTGGGCGATAGATTTAGCAAACAAGCACAATCTTCGCCTTGGATTCAGAAGCCCCTCCATGCGTCACCTGGGGTAATTATCCATGACAATAGTATGCCATGGTATGCGTCAGTTCGGGAATTCCAGAAAGCCAAAAACGTGTTGCACCTTGCGCGTGTAGTAGGCCATCCGCCACTTGTTCGGCCATTTCCGCTTGCAAACAGGTAGGCCAGGGCTAGTGACCACCGGCGGTTCTAAGGGATCAAGCTGAGTACTAGAAGTAGCCTTTTTTGATCTTTTTTGCAGGGTGGGGGCCAGGTACAAAACGACACATCAACATTTCGAGGAACGCTAACAGGAACATAGTCCTGCAGGAAGTGTGTGGGAGGGTGCTTGCTTGAGCCCTTTTGGGCCCTGCCTTTGCGTCACAGCTGGCCAGGTGGTTCTGCAGGGGGCTCGGTTGCCGCCTGCATTTGCCGGAGCTTTTGAGATCCCTGACTGCTTGCAGAGGGTGCGGGAGTTAAGTACATGGTTAAATACCTCAGTTTCAAGGGTTGGCAAGTTGACAGAGGCTTTAACTGACCTTATGGGGGTTAACAACTGCTTGGCAAACTTGCGGACCATTTCAGCATGTTGAGCACCCTCACCTCCAAGAAAGCCTTCTAGCAGAATACCAAATAACAAGGTTCTTAGAACCTTTCCTCAGTGGGAGGGCCTTCCACAGTGGAGGCCCAATTGATGGTCTGGACAAGTCAACTCCTCATCCGTTGAAGCCGATCATACAGCTCTGCGGCAAAGCTGGGTTCCTTGTGGACTCTGCATTGGTGCCTTTTGAAGCTCGCCGACTTCTGGGTCAATGATTTCGAGTCCACCTTACTGGTGTCAGCTAAGTCTTGAATATGTTCACGCGTGCTGGCACTTATGTTGTACTTTTTGTCCAGGGCTTGCTTGGAAGGCATGGGCATGGCGAGCAGCAATCCTTGGCTCAGAGCCAAGGTATTTCCTGCAATGTCATCTCGGCACCAAAACGATTCGACGCTGATGCGTCCCTTAGTTTCCATGGAGAAAGCACCAAAATGTCACGAATGCCAATACCCAGGGGTGAGCCATCACTAGCATCTGTGGGCACCTTTTTCGTTGCGTTGCTGAGTCAAGACCCTCTGGACGCAACGGCAGGGGGGAGAGAGAGAGAGAGAGAAAGAGAAAGAGAAAGAGAAAGAGAAAGAGAAAGAGAAAGAGAAAGAGAGAGAGCGCGAGAGAGAGAGAGAGAAAGAGAGAAAGAGAGAAAGAGAGCAAGAGAGAGAGATAGAGAAAGAGAGAAAGAGAGCAAGAGAGAGAGAGAGAGAAAGAGAGAAAGAGAGAGAGGGAAAGAGAGAGAGAGAGAGAGAGCCATGACTAGCTACTGTATGTTGCGTCGATATATTTTTCGGCCTTTGCCCAGTCCGCGACTGATGCGATTCGTCCGCGCCGGGCAGGCAGGGGAATTGCTCGGTTCTTTCCTCCATTCCTTCCATTCGCTCAAGAATATTTCTTTTTTTCCCCCTTTGGTTTTAAAGGGAATCTATCACTACTGGAAATATTTGTCCAGGGGTCGAAGAACCAAATGGAAGATTCTGTTCCCCGCACTCTGCGCTCTGATTGTACTCTGCCGCGTGTTTTTTTGTGCTTTGTTCCTTCACATCGCTTTTCGCGCAGAGGATGCGGGGCTGTTCGAGAGCGGCTGTTGACCATTCTTCTTGTGAAGTTCCTCAACTGTGAAGCCCGTGGCAGTACTCTAGGGGTAGCTTCCCCATTCTTTCCAGAGATCCTTCTTTTCAGCAAACCATCAAAACCCCTGGGGAAACAGCCGGTTGTTGAAAAGAACGATGGTTGAAGAGAATGGGAAATCAACCCTAGAAGTAAACTGACGTCGCCCTGACATTTCATTGCCTCCCGCCTCAAGTTTGCCAGGCCAGGGCCCCCAAAACGCAAGGACTTGCGCGAAGCCCTGGCCCCATGCGGGCAGCATGTCTTCCTTGGCCTTCGTTTGGGGCTGTTCTGTGCCTTTGGCTTCCTTTCTCGAGAGATATATATATATATAGTTAAAACAAAAAGAAACACGAACGGCAAAAACACGGCAACAAGTGCAGCCGATTTTGCCCCATGGCCAGCGGTTTTCTAAAGGGTTGAGAGGTTCGGAAGGAGAATCTTCCCCTGGACGTGGTTGCTTGTCTCAACTCGGGAATCCTTCAACTTCGATGGTTGCGAAAGGCAACCCGCCACTTGGAAGGGTCCCGCACTTTGAGACAAACCCACGCAGGCGGTTCTGACCTTGCCGGTCTTCCGCATGTCCAAGGAGCGGATCAGCGGAAGGCTTGAGAGCAACTCCCGCAGGTGGTTTGGTCAGTTTGAGTTTGGTGGCCGAAGGTTAGAACTGATTTCTTGCTCAAGCAGCCTCAAGGGCTCGCCACCTTTGATTAATTGGTTGAGACGTAAAATTTGGGTTGTTGCATAAGGAGGCAGCTGGGGCACTTAAGGAGCCTCAAAAGGGGCTAACCTTTTGATTACTTGGTTGAGACTGAGCACCTCCCAAGCGCGTGAAGCCGAGTCAAAGAATTCTCCAGGCCATTGAGGGCTTCGTCTAGGTCTGCTTTTGTTAGCACTGAGTTGTTGTTGATGAGTGGGTGGGTGGGTGGGTGGGTGGGTGGGTGGGTGGGTGGGTGGGCGGGCGGGCGGGCGGGCGGGCGGGTGGGTGGGTGGGTGGGTGGGTGGGTTGTTTGTTGGTTGGTGGGTTGGTTGGTTGGTTGGTTGGTTGGTTTGTTTGTTTGTTTGTTTGTCTGTTGCTGTCGAAGGTGACAGGGGCTCACAGGATCAGTTCGTTGCACATAGCCCGCGAAACCGGGAACCGGATCATTGCAGCGAACACGCCTGGGCTGGTTTGCGGTCGCAAAGAAACCGGGTCGCTTGGACCTGCAGACGCAGCCGCTTCCGGACGCCACCTTCCGCAGCTTGTGTTGATGCCACACGGATTCCGCAGGACTCCAAACATGGCCAGGATTTCCTTTGACTTCCCTTTCACCTGATCTATCTCCAGGGGCAGTGGGTCGCTTAGGCGTCGCGCGAATGGTTCGCTTAGGGATCGCGCAAATGGATCGCTCCGGGATCGTTTTTTGCAGAAGGCTTGTCGCGCATGCATGCGTGTTGATATGTTTGCTCGCGATGTATGTTTATATAAGCGCATGCGCGAGCATGTATGTGCTTGTTTGTGCTTGTCGGCGTGTATATCGCATGACATATGTGACGTGTATGTTTCATGACATATGTTACTATGTTTGCTGGCGAGTCCATGTATGTGGTTGTGTGCATGCGTGTTGACATGTATGCCCTGCGGCGTATGCCCCAGAACCCGATGAATTTGCACATTAGGTTACAGAGCAGGCTGGGCTGGTTCAGTTGAGCGGGTGTGCTTATCATCCCCCCCACCCCACCCTCCACCCCCAGAAAGAGATGCATTTGCTGGGATGAAGCAGTTCAGCGGTTGTGCTTATCATGCCCCCATTTCGTTACAGAGCAGGCTGGGCTGGTTCAGTTGAGCGGGTGTGCTTATCATCCCCCGCACCCCACCCCCCACCCCCAGAAAGAGATGAACATTATCATGCCCCCCCCCCCAACCAACCCCCCCCCCCCATGCTATTTTGTAATCTGGTAAAAGAGCAGGCTGGTCTGCAGCAGTTGAGCGGGTGTGCTTACCATGCCCCCCCCACCCCACCCCCCAGAACCATGCTATTTTGTATTCCGGAAAACGAGCATCTGCAGCAGCTGAGCGCATGTGCTTATCATCCCCCCCCCCCCCAAACCCCCCCACCCAGAACCATGTTGTTTTGTAATCCGGTAAAAGAGCAGGCTGGTCTGCAGCAGTTGAGCGGGTGTGCTTACCATGCCCCCCCCCCACCCCCTCCCCAGAGCCATGTTACTTTGTAATCCGGTAAAGGAGCAGGCTGGTCTGCAGCTGTTGAGCGGGTGTGCTTATCATCCCCCCCCCTCCCCACCCCCATCATCAATGAATGTGATCCCTAAGTGATCCGTGAATGTGATCCTCAAGTGAGCGTGTATCCCTAAGTGACCGTGATCCCTAAGTGAACCGTTTGAGTGATCCCTAAGTGACCTGTTTGCCTATCTCCAGTCTCTGCATGGGTGCCGTCCCTTTGCTTCCCTTTCAAAGGCACTCAATAACGTCACCCTTAAAGAATACACACCAACTCTGCTGCATCGCCGATCTTGCCTGCCGTTCAGTGTCTAAGACTACAGATTCTGCGCACAAGTAGTATGACCTCAGGTTAAAACCAGATCAACAGGTGCCGCATTCTTGAACCTGACTCGTCCCCTATAGTGTGTTCTTGCCATGTTAACATCTGCGCCTTTGGCCCGCGGAGCGGCCCGCGCGCTGGGAGCTGCAGCCCTTCGCCCCTCCTCGCACCGTGGCTTCGCCTTCCCGCGCGGTGCGCCGCGCGCGCGCCAAAGGCGCGCCCTGGCGCTGGCCGCACTGGGCGGCGCCGCGGCGCGGCGCAGCGCTGTGCATGTGGTGTCGGCATGCAACGAGCCGCGCGGCGGATGTCACTCTCAACTCGGGCGAAAGTGAAAGGCAGAGCAGGGGGTGCTGGAAGAAGCGTTTCCTCTGGAGTGCAGTGGGTGGGAGGATGCAGCTGCAAACAACAGTTACCCGAGGCCAAAAGGGTGTCAGGGACAATGAGTGACACCCAATGGGCTTTTGGTCGCACTGTGCCTTACCGCATTTGCCACTTTGATCGACTAGCAAAGTGGGGAACAGGAGAGGGAGGGCAGGGGCAATGAGCGTAATGAATATATTTCCACTGTCAACTCAGCCAATGTCAAACACAGAAACATGAGGAGGGGTGACCCCTGGAATTCCACCTCTAGTTCCATTTCCCTTTTGCGGGTAAGACTAGAAAATTGGAATTGGGGGACCCCCACCATCCGGTTCGGGTAGGAACAAAACACATGCATGTCAAATAGCACCCTGACTCTAGGGCGTTTTTGTTCTCCTCGCCCTTGCTTCCGATGTAGTGCATTTTTCCCAAAGGGGAATATAAATTCGGGGCCCCAACCTCCCTTTGGCGGGGAACTGAGGATATATATATATATATATATTATATTATATTATATTATATATATATATGCTTTCCGTTCTTCCTTTCGCTCTGCATGTTTGTGTTGCCTCACTTCCTGAGTTTCCGGACATCCCTTTTGGGCAAACCACTTGAGTGGCAAAAACAAGTTGCGACTTGTTTGGCCAATCCGCTCGTTTGCAAGTGAGTTGACATAGGACCCGCTTCCACTCCTCATGGGAAAGCAGAAAACCGAGGTATAGGCAAGAGACCTTAGTGCTGGAGCGCAGTGCGGAAAAGCACGGCTACTCCTTTCACGTGGCTTGGCCGGAGGGGCCTCCATCTTACCTCTTGCTGGTTGGGGGGTCGGAAAACGATGTCCCCAGAGCCGAAAGAACGGACCGTGCCGACCAGAGTCAAAGGCTGAATGCATGAATGTATGCGTTCGCAACAGCCCTGATGGGCTTTCTTGCCCCTTGAGGAGGGTCACGCAAAGGATACTCCTGAAGATTGGCTCCCCCTTAGCTTTTTAGCCTTTTAGTTTTTAGTGGGCATGTCCATTTAACCCACTAAAAGTTAAACCTTTAGCGGGGAATCTGAGGACAGCCCAGATGTAGAAACCTTAGTATAAGATGGTTCAAGTCAGTGGCCTCTCGTCGGTTGCAAGTCCTGAGGGTAGTAAATCTGCCGAAATCCTACAGACAGGCCCCTGGACGCCACCATGAGTCCGTTGCGGTTGCGGAGTTGTTTCGTGGTTTTGACCCTGGATGTGCTTAGCAGATGTAAGTGTGTTGTTTGTTGCTATTTGTTGGCTTTGTGTACTCTTGACTTTGGATCTAGGCGACTACATGGAGAGTGCTGATTCGTCAACGCATCCATGCGGATTTGTTTGAGATACTTTGGAGGTACCCGCTTCTCGTTGGTTTTAAAGGGGAAGCAAACAGCAAACCGACTTGGGCCCCCTCATTCAACGGCAAACCAATGTACGCATTTGCCTCCAAATGGATTCCATGTGATATAACATGCCGAGGGCGGGCTGATGGAGCTTAGAAACGGTATTTGTGTCGTTTTTACACAATTCTTCGACACCGAGCCACATACCGGTCCCCCATGTTCAAGCATCCCTTAGGAACCACAGTTTCTGTTAGGAACGGAATCCTTTAGGCACCTTTCTGGGTTCCTTCCTTTCATTCGCAGGGTATTTCCATGATTCTTACAAAAACTCTTTCATTCACCTGATATGTCCATGTTTTTGTTCTCAAAACTCTTTCATTCGCCGGGTATTTTCCATGTTTTGTGTTTCTCTTTCTTTTTTTTGGAAAGCAAAGGCCATAGCAAAGGAGCACAGAGTAAAGGCCATAGCCCCTGTTTTCCCCTGGCTTGCGCGAGGTGGTGGGCCTTGGACAGCCCTTTACCGGGGTTGGCATGAAACTCTTCCTCTACGACAAGGCGCTGAAGGAGTTGGTGGGGCACCTCGGCCGGGTTTGCTGGCCTTGAAGCTGGTGTCTCTTCCAATACCTGGAGTCTCCTTCTGACCCTCAAAAATGGTTGGTCAGACTCCCCAAAATATTGGGGTCATGGACCCATTTTTTAAGGGTCATGGAGAGTCTGGGTATGTTAGATTCAGGGTAGGCTTGCTGGCCTTTAAGCTGGTGTCGAGTCCAAAGAGATGGTAGATTCAGAGTAGGCAAAATACGAAACAGCATCAGGCATAGGGAGCTTCTGCGTGCCCCAGGCCAAGTACAGGCCCCTCAGCCCTTTTGCGTTCAGGTATGCGTATGTACTGCTTGTTTGCGCTGTTTGGGACTTTCGATGCCTTGTGCCATTGCCCTTCTTCATTATGTCATTTCACCGGCGTTTCGGTCCCGGGTGTTGGAGCAACATGTTTGCTGCGCTTCCGTCAATGAGAAGTTGTTTTTGCTCTTAGTCTGGGCCAGGGTCCCCAGTTCCCTGGAGAGGTGTGGCCCAGGGTCTGGGATGTGAATGGATTCCGTTGGCTTGTGTTCGCTTCTCATCCTCTAGTGGGAATCATCGGTTTTCCTCAGGCGCGTATTTGGCCTCAGCCACAGAATGGTGTGGAGTTCGAACCCAGGCGTAACATCAGTGCGACCGTTTTTATCACTCGATTGGACAAGTGCTTCTTGAACCAAAAATGTGCTTCCCTTTTTTGACCCCAATGCTTCAACGTGCCGAAAGTGGGACTCAGTTGGTTGTCTGGATCCCGGACGGTTTTCTCACAGCCCCTGTTGGGCGAAATATTCAAACACACCGCTACCCCAAACAATCACAACCTTGCCCTTACTTTGGTTTATCCCGAGTGCTGCCATGGCTGGACGGAAGACGAATTTCGACATGTCTTTGGGGGGGTGGGGTGGAAAAGCTCTGGCCGTCGGTCGCATGGAGGGTTTTCATGGGAGGCTTCGAGCCACCTCTGATCAAGCGCGTCAACCCAGAGACTCGCTTTGCATCGCTTGGGGCTGCAATGCTGCCATTTGCTCAAGAATATTCTTCATATTCTTCATGTTCATTCTTGGGGCTGTCACTTTCTTCATGTTCCCCTGTTGCTTTCGACCGGGAACCCGTCCCTGGGAAGAGGTTCGCTTCTCGACAAAGGCGCCAGATCCCGGCCAACGAGCCCGTGCTGCTGCTGGATGCCTGGGACACCATTTTGCTGGGCCCTGCAGAGGAGCGGCGCGGATCCAAAAAAAAAACACGCCCTACGGGACACCAAAAAAAACAGGCTGTGCACATAGGTGTCCTTTGTAGGTGAGCCCTGGGTCAAAAACAGATGGCCCTGGTTTCGATGGGTCTTGTTCCATTTGGCAGTGGCTCAAAAAAGTGGTACCAAAATGGCACCTTGGTAAATGAACCAAAGCCTCAAGCCTGCGGTTTGCCCTGGCGTTTTAATTTTGAGCCATACCCATTTACCACGGAAACCCATCGGATTTTTCATAAACGGGCCACCTATGGCAGTGCCGGTCCTTGGCTTCAGGATCTGGGCCCCAGATTGCCCATCCTCCTGAGGAAAGTCTGGGAGGAACGGTCCGAATTTCACCTTGGAGGGTCCGAATCAATGTCTCAAAATTCCTGGTTTTGGGATGGCTCTGGCAAGGTTGACAGATTTTTTCCTTGGTTGCTGGTTTCAACATCACCTTTTGCTTGCTAAACAGGCTTTCTCAGCCAGTTCACGGGGTACGTGGTAAAGTTCCACCATGACGCAGACCCGCTGTCCAACGACTCATCTTGAACGCGGATTCAAATGGGAGTCGTTCTAAATTGCCAGTCTTAAAATTAAGTAAAGGGAGGTTCTGAAGGTCTAGCGCGAAAGGAAAACACTGCATCGCGAAAGGCCGGCGAAAGGAACGCGAAAGGACTTGAAACATAACCAATACATGGCAGAACCCTCGTTTGGGCTCGGAAACAAGTTTTTCAGGACTGGTTTGTCACCGCGAAAGGAAAACATGGGGCCGCGAAACGACCGCGAAAGGCCGGCGAAAGGGCCGTTTCCAGGAACTTGTATTTTGAACAACCCCCAAATGCACGGTGCTTGTGGGCGGGCACTTAGTTTTAGTGGCCCCGTCTCGTATTCCATGTGCAGGTCTTGCAAGGGTGCCAGTGTGAATTTGCAACTGGCGGGCTTCTCATTGCGCAGACCACTACAAGCACCAACGGGAAAAGGGGGTGAGTATACTCTTCACATAGTGGCTGCACGATGGCTTGTAACTATGAGCCCTGATATCAGCCCTTGCTAGAAAAAAGCCAAGATTATCGGGTAATGATTCATCATCATCATGATCAGCATGTTGCCAAACCAGCTACAAACAGGTGCCAACATGGCCATGGGTTCATCTACGACAGTGTGTTTCCCTGAGAGCATCCTCAAACAGAGGCATACAAAAGTTCATGCAAATTCCAACACAGGGACCCCAACAAGTCATACCACATGGTACACATTCGCGTAAAAAAGCCTGGAGTCTCCAGACCCTTTGAATTTTTTGGGTCTTTCGATGGAGCTCACCAGTAAGGTCCAGCTTTAGGGGAACGTGCCCCTCTTTCCTTCACAAGTCGTGAGTCATAACAATTTCTTGAGCAACCCATTCTTGGTGGCCCCAGCCACCCATTTCTTAGCTTTTTCGCATTTTAGTGTTTCGTGGTGGGATTTCCGGGCAAGAAAAACGTGCAGCAGGGGATCCGAGGGTTTTTGTATTGCACCCTGGGATGAAATGACCCAGAATGGTTCAAAAGAACACGGTTTTATCCGGACATGTGCCTTGGGGTCAATACCCAGGTGTATTCCCAGGGTGTATTCCCAAAAACCCTTTGAAGGCCAGAAGGATGACACAGAAGCCACCAGATTTCGATCAGCCCGGGTCAGCCCACACCCATCTGACCAAGAGCAAAGGTTGGATCCTATAGCCCAGCCGAACAGCATACCCCATCCCCTTAGCTTTTTCCCATTCCTGTTTGGCTGTGGTTGGACTTCCTTTCAGCCCACTAAAAAGTTAAGCATTTAGCAGGGGATCTGAGGCAGACTTTGTTTGTGAGCGCCGAAAGCCGAGGTTCGCAGAGAAGCTCCACAGCATGGGCGTCCTCAGCGACAACCTGGTGCTCTGCGGCGCAGATCGAATCTGCGCGCCGGAGTACAAGCTGGCGCCCAAGATGGAGCGGTGCCCGTGAAACGAATGGCCATGCATCTGACCGAGGAGGTTGGAGACGGCATCCTTTCAACGAATGGCTGTGGCTCAAAAGACGTGGCCCAAAAGAGCACCATTGGGTAACATTAATAGAACCGTGCCCAAGATCTGACGTGTCTGTGGCTCAAAAGACGTGGCCAAAAATGGCACCAAACCACAATCAGAACCTGGCATCCAAACGGCCTACGCCAGACTGAGTAAAGAAGCCAAGAACCTATAAAACCCTGGAATGATTCGAGTCCCCGGCAAATACTACCAAAAAATGGTTTCAACCATGGTTTTAAAGTGGTGCAGGATTTTGTCCATCCACGGTAGGGACATGAAAAGACGTACCAAAATGGCACCTTGGCAATAGAACCAAAGCCTAAAACCTGCGGTTTGCCCTAGCTCTTCAATTTTGAGCCACACCCACATGTTGATCTCCATTTGCTGAAATGAACATCATTGATTTTCACTTGATAGGCATCTATCATTGCATTTGCCGAAATGAATCGCAGTATCCCAAAGCGAATCCACCTTTTGATCTTTTGGCTTTCTGTCCGAAAAGGTTGGCCTTCTCTTCCAGGTCCTTTGTGCAAGTGAGGAATATGTCAGATTACGCTTATTTTTGTCCAGGGGACTTAAGTCAAGGGATGGGTGTGTCTTGAAATAGGGCAACGCCAAACATAGGAATCTTGCTCTTCTGATTTCGCAAAGAAACAAAATCACTCCGAAAGGGGCACCCTCAAAAATCGACACACCAAAATATGTTCAGGCACCCAAAGCCACCCCCTCCTTGCCCAAGACCAGCTGTTTGACCTTTTACTCAGTTGCCGAGGTTTGGTTCCCCTTGTTTGGTCCATTTTTAGTCATGGCCCGCCCTAAAAGGCGAACCTTTCGTCATGGGTCCTTTGGGCAACTGAGTTTAACTTCCCGTGCTGGCATCTTAGTCACTCACTCTTTGGGTTTCAGGACTTCAGACACTCTTCTCAGTTCTCTAAGGCGAATCGACCGTGATACTGTACCTTTTGGGGTCCTTTGCTGGCCCATGAATTGTAAAGGTCCCAAAAGGTGATCACCGTATCTTCCGGGTCCTCTCTGGGCAATTGAGTTTTTGCTAAGGACATGTTACGCAGCTTGGGAATGGCTCGTCTTGCCGAAAATCCGCTCACTTCTGAGCTTGCAGCTACTCAAGGCACAAGACAACAGAGCAGGAATGGGCCAGTCAAGTTTGAGTCCCTACCTCACTTCCTGAGTTCCTGGCTTTATGTTGTTTTGGGAGGACCAGCTTAGTGGTAAACAAAAGGGTTTTGACTGTTTTTGGCCATCCGCTCGATCGGAAGTGAGCTGCACTGATTCAGAGCAAAGAGGGCCATTGCAGCCTATGACCATTGAGTAATGACTAGGTGCTATGAACCATTCGATGGTTGGGTTGAATTAGATGCTTGCCTGAACCTTGGTTGGTCAGACCTTGGTTAAGGTACCAAGGGCTTACCAATCTAATGTGCCATGCAAATTTCCACTGTTTGACTAGCCCATAGACTTAAACCCATGGCTTCGGCTTTTGGCGGAAATGAACCCCAAGATAGACTCAAACCCATGGGTTCAAATGAATCATCCTGGGTTTACCTTGGGGCTTGCAGGACCCCCGTGTGTTCCATGTGGGCTACTGGCTTGGATCTTTAGACTTTAACTTTTCATTCCCCTCATATTTCCTGCTACCCAGCAAAAGTTAGACTTTTTGCCGGGGGATCTAGAGCACCCAAGATGGTTTCGTCTACCGTGTAGGCCAGAAAGGCAGAAAGCTGGCGCCAGGTACTTCCCGGGCATCCGCACTCCCTGGCGGTACCCCAACTCGGGATGCATCACCGGCACAGGGGCGGCGGTCACAGCCTTCATGCACGGCCTGGTGCACGGCACCGACGCTGGGAGCGAAGTCGTGGAAGTCGAAGCGATCCAGCCCGTTTGGGTGTCATTTCCGCCTGTAAACGGAACAAGTCAGTTTCAACAGACCATTTGGGCGTGTCTTTGTTAGCCTCAAAACGAGACACACCCATATGAGGCGATTTTCCAGGGTGCACTCCTGGCACGTGGTTCGAAGTCCCTTGCAAGTGAGTGCAAGTAGTTGCCACCTGCCCGCAAAGAAGTGGTGCAATCCACTTTTTATTCGAGCCTGTGCTCCCAACGGAAAGAGCCTGGAAGAGGGTCCCCAAATGGAATTTGAAACCCAGGGAACCAGATTTGGGTGTGGCATGGCAAAAAGAGGTGTCCACAATGCAAGGGGCAAGGGTCTAGACTTATCTTACTTGATTTGGCTGAACCATCAAGCCATTCCAGTCAGTTTGGCCCTGCCAGCCGGCCTTCGGGTCTGGGGAAACAGGGCGGGTTTGAGATTAGAGGGTCCCACGCCAGGTGGACGAATTTTATCAGGTAACCCAAACCACAGAGGCTTGGCTACGGAGCCCGGGGCAGGCTCTCTTGGCCAACCTGCAAGGAACCCAAGGAAGGCAACCTGAAGGGGAGATGGACTCAGGGTCTCGTTTGCACCAAGCGTTGTGCTCAAATGTTCGTATCCCGATTGCCCTTGTTTTGCCCACATGGCGGATCTAGAGGCGGATCTAGACAGCGAAGGACCCTCGGTGGTGGGCAACGCATCCTCGGCTTATTCTGATGCGGGTGACAGCCGCAATGTGCTGACGACTTGGCGGCCGGGAGATGCGGCGCAGAGGATCCGTGCTTTGGCTGGCTATATGGCAATGATGGAGGTTACACGACCTGCAGTTCTGCGGGCCACTGCTGCCTACCATGCCTTCGAGTCGTGCGCGGCGGCTCTCAGAGGCTCGGTCTCGAGAGACTTCTTTGCCAAGAGCCGAGAGGTGCCTCAGATCCAGGAATTCTGGAGCCATTCTTGGCACTCGCCTCGCTGGGCAAAATGCTTGACCCTCTTGGTGCTGAACAACGGCTTAGCAGCGATTTGTGTGGGCCACGTGTTCGCCTTGCTTGGCATTGTGCTTTTTCATCTTCACGCCCTGCCAGGCTTCGACCGGCATTCGGAAGGTGGTCAGAGGAATTCTTGCGTGTGGTCGTCTGCGCTTGGTGTTGCAGGCACCATTTTGACCTTGGCATGCTGGAAGTCTAGAAAAGAAGTTTTCCTGGACAGGATTTGCATCAGTCAAACGGAGGCCGGTTTGAAGACAGAGGCCATTTGCAGCCTTGCCGGGATTCTGAACAAGTCAGAATCCATGCTGGTGCTTTGGGATGCTTCCTTTGCTGAAAGATTGTGGTGCGTGTTCGAGATCGCAGCATTCCTCAAAAGCAAGGAGCATCGAGACAGGCCATTGGTGGTTTGCCCAACCCTAACAGGGCCAGTCTCATGCGCTGTTTTTGCAACGGCCACAATAGCATTCATTCCAGTCCTGGTCCTTCCAGAGCGGCTGGAAGGCGCATTATTTCCATATGCATGGCACCTTGTAGGCTTCTTCGCTTCTGGGCTTGCTGGCTCCTATGCATGTTGCCACGTCCTGCGTGGCTTTTACCGTTCTGTAGAAGTCATGCAAAGGCAGCTGTTGTCATTGCAAATAGCGGAGCTCAAATGCAGCTGCTGCAGCACGGGTAAATGCGGTCGAGCCGATGGATGGACAGTCTGTGACAGACAGGTGATTTCCGAATGCATTGCGATATGGTTTGGCAGCACACAGAGCTTTGTAGAGTACATTCGCACCGAAGTCGTGGATGTTATTACGGAGCAGCTTGAGAGGAATTCCTTCAGCGGTACTTGGAGTGTTGCCATCATAAGCCCTGCGTTCTGGGCCATGTTCGATCTTATGCAGTACAACGTGCGAAGACCTCATCCGCATTGGGTGTTCTTCACGGTGTGGCTTTCGGCTGCTCTTACTCTGTTTTTGCTTGGTCCTATATTGAACTCGTGGTGCAAATTCGTGGCATACCGCCTCCGCCATGAATCCAGCTCCAGATGCGGCGAGATCTTCACCAACTCGCTGATGATAATTTACGGGAGCCCAGTAGTTGCTCTTGGTGTGGGCGCCTCTGTGTTTGGCATTTTCTTCCCTCCTGACCGTTATAAAGCCGTTGCAGTGCTGGCCGTCCTTCTGCCTGGCTGGTCTTTCATGTGGCTTTTGCGGAGGCAGGGGAAGGGCTACCTGAGCCAATATATTCGGCAGCAGAGGCTTGAAAGGATGGCGCAAGGCTCATCCAGGCACAGCCTGTGAAATGGCTTCAGAAAAAAAGGGAGGTTCCTGATAGCTATCAGAGATTGGCGTGTCAGAATTTGGGTTCGTCGTGTTCAAGAATGCTTTGAAACTTATACCGACTCATATAAAGTGACAGGCATTGCCTCACTGCGCCACCTTCAACGTAGCTTTGCTACATTCAGGCTCAGGCCCAAGGAGACCTCTGGCATGCAATGCTAAAAGCGGGAGGGATGGGGGGTGGGGCGTAGAAAGACTTTGGCCTGGAAAGGATCAGCTCTCTCCCTTATCCGGGCGTTCAAGCTGTGTCTTCAAAATTGTGATTTCAGAAACCATCTTAGAGGAATACGATTGAGCTGGCGTCATGAAGCGCCCATCTCCAACCAATAATAGCAGCCAGTATGGACATGCGGTTTGCCCGTGGCACTGCGCAGAAAACTGCCCTTGCCAGCTTGCGATGAGGTGAGGTTGAAGGTGTTCTTGACAGGCACTTAGCTAAGACCTGCCAGAGAACTTGTATTGCGTTAGCATCTTGAGTGGGGTGCAGGTGCGAGTTGCTTCCAGGATCGATGTGGGAGTTGCTGCTAACCCATGAGGCTCACGTCCCGATGGGAGCACCAGTCTCAGGAGCCCCCAAATTTCCCTTGTTTGCCAGAAAAACATTGCCCATCCTTCAACCCCTCTCTTGTAGAATGGCTTTGGAGGGTATTGGTTGCTTCAGGAAGGCGGGAGCTACAGCGACCAAGATGATGACCAGCTGAGGGTCCAGGAGTTCCTGCTCAATTGGCAGGCCAGGAAACATTTGCCTTGGAACGACCCTTCACGGGGAGATTTTCCGGTGCTTCTGCAGTTTAACCTTTGGTGGCGCAAGGTGTCATGCGGAAACCGTACTTAACACTGCGCTTGATAGGGTCAGGATTCCCTTTTGATGGATAGCAAAGGGCTTAAGAGGCTTTCCACATTTCTGAAGGGGTCCCTCTATGCTCACGGGGTCAACGCAAGGCCCTGTTTGTGGTACTTGGCTTAGCCAAAAGGGAGGTCTAGGCCTTTAGCGGCCCATATTCTTTCTTTGTAATTGTGTTTTTGGGGTTTCATGTTAAATTGCATGCAACCCCTAATTGGTGGTTTGGATTTGGATTTGTGGCCCCTTGTCTTTGTTCTTGTGGGGGGTAAATGGGAAACCCCTCCTTAACCACAAACCACCAATCCAAACCACCAAATAAGGGGAACAGGAGATAGCTGCCGGTTGATTGGTGGAAAAAAGGCGGGCTTTTGATAGATAAGTGGTACGCTTGTCTGTCGCAAAGTCGGACTTGCACCCCGGGCCAAGAAGGGCAATCCTGCTGACCCAAGCCAAGCCCTCGAAATGTCAGGCAGATGGGCCTTACCGAACTTGGGCCTTGCGCCTTGTGTGCTTGAGGCACTGGGGGTGCGATACCCTTTTCGCCTGGACCATGAGCGCCTCGGAAGCAACTGACGAAGCGAGCTTCCCTCGGAAGATTGATCAACCACCCCGGTCTTGGGGTTCAGGCCAATGACTCTATGTCCCCTTCAGTATCAACTGCAGGTGCAAGCAGCTGGCAGTGATCTTTGTCAGATCCCGGTTGATGGAACCTAACCTTCGGGGGGTCCTGGTGTGGATCATCCTTTTAAAGGCACCGAATCCCGAACGTCCGGTTCCATGCGAATGGGTGGGAGAGTATCTGACAGGTATATACCAAGATGGGAGGTCTCCTAACTTGGGCCGAGGCTTTCCCTTGGGTGTTCACCCGCTTCCATTAGCTGAAAAGCATTTTGTGTTGACTTTCCCTGGTTGATTTTCATGGGGATATGCCACTCTCATTTTTGGCCAGGGAGCGAACAAGCAGCTGGAAGTTAGCATTGGCAAAACGGTTTTCGGCTTTCGGATACCCAGGCAAACAAGTGGAAAGGCTTGCCGTTGGTGGAGTCAGCAGCCGCGTCTTCGGGGGAATAACGCTGAACAGTCATGTGACGACGCCTTTCCGGATTGTACTGCGGACATTGGTTGGTGTTGAGTCATAGCCCCCGAAGATGCCAACATGTTACTTCTCCCATTTGCTGAAGTATATGTTTTATGTTCCAATGTTGGTTTTAAAGGGAATCTATCACTATTGGAAAATATGTTTTTTTTTTTTTGTTTTTTTTCCCGGGGGGCTTAAGCAAATGGAAGACTTCCAGGCATTTCCAGGCATGGCTCACCATTCCCAGTTTCCAATGGCCTTCTCCCTTAGGCTGGGACAGGGCTACGGACAGCTTTGGGTTCGCCAGAGGAAGAGATCCGCTCCAATTCTCCAACTCATGCGGGGCCACTTCCGCCTCTTTTTTTTTCCGGGGATTCCCCTCCTAACTGTTCAGGGGTTGGTACGCCTCGCTAAGGCCGAAAAAAAACATGTAAAGCGTGTGTGTGTGTGTGTGTATCTTCGTTTGGGTAAAGTTAAACCTTTGTCAGCTTATGCACTGCCACAACCAATGGCTTTGGGTTTTCAGTCAAGATCTGAGGTGCCAGATCTTTCAGAACATGGGGGAGCCCTACTGCGGCTGGGACTTCGAGCGTCGGGAGAGTCCGCGGCTCCGGAATTCCTCCACAGGCTCGGTGGCTTAGATTTTGCCACCTTGAACATTTTTGGTGGGGTTTCAGGTAACCACCAACCACTTGTGAGGTGGTTCCAACTCTGAAAAATCATAGCAATGTAAACTTGCTGGTTCTCAGTAAGGAATGACTGAGTCTGGGTTATGGGAATGAACCGTTTCGGGATTCCCGAAAAAAGGAAGCCACAAGGGAAGAGTTGGATTCACGTCGCAAGTGGTTGTTGGTTGCCTGAACCCCACCTAAATGATGTTCAAGGGATCCGCGACCCATCAAGATTCACAATCCTGCAATTGTAGGGGCTGAATTCTTAGGATGGAGTTAGGGGGCACTTTAGAACCACATCTAGTCGTGGTTGTAGGGATATAGTATTCGTCAAAAAATATCTCCTCTGTGTAAGAGGCTGACATTAACAATAGTTTACTCCCTTTGCGAGAGACGCAGAGAGTTTACTCCAATGACCATATAGTCAGTTGGTCTTCGGGTATCCCGCAACGCCATTCTAATGATTTGACCCTTATAGTAAAGATCAAACATTGGTTGCTGAAGATTTCGCTTCTTATTGAATATGATTTCTTAGATTGCAAATTAATAGTTGTCATACTTGGTCTAGAGATTAAGTGTTTTGTTCTTTTCTTTTCTTTTTCCGCGCTGGATAGCCGCACTTCCTGAGTTCCTTTGTGCTTTTTGAGGTTGGGCGACTTTTGTGGTAAACAAGCAGTTTGAACGTTCTTTTTCCAATCCACTCAGGAAGGCAGCAGCAGAGCTGGTTCGAACAAGTCTCCTGGTTGGGGGGAAAGAGGGTAGAACAACATGGTTCGGGGGTGGCACCAAGAAAGCACAAACTGTTTTTGTTTGGTTGGCTTCCTATCGTGGTATCAACTCGGAAGAGGCAGACCATGGTTTTGTGGTTGGGACTTTCTAGCCGAGAGAACCTCCTTTGCGCGATCATGTTGCCATTGAATTTGGAATGGGTACCACTTTGCTACAGCCGTTGTTTTTGTTCAATGTTTTTCAGGGCTGCTTTCGCCTTGAAAAGGGTAGACATTTGGTTGGGTTTCGCTTATAACGATCCTGGAGAAGATAGAAACTTTTTTTGGGAAAGTCAGGGCGTGCAAAACCGGAGCGCCGCGGCAAGATAGAAACCCTTCCGCAATAAGATAGAAACTTTTTTTGGAGAAGTCGGGCAGACTTGCAAAGCGACGTGCTCCGAATAGGAAAGTAGTATTCGAGATTCAATTTTTAGTATGGGGCATAGTACTGGCAATGCCACATCTAGCGCTGGCAATACTGAATCAAGTACTGGGAATTGTAAATTTATTACTGGTAATGTACTACATTTAGTACAGGCAATGCCACATTTAGTACTAGCAATGCAGTACCGAATTGCCAGTACCTAATTGTGTGTCCCCTGAGTGTTGCAAGTACTAAATTTCCTACTACCAGCACTGAATCTAGTATTGAGTCGCAAATGTGGTAGTATTATAATAAAATTGGTATTGTCAGTACTAAAATTCTTTAAATTTGTATTGCCGGCACTTCATTTTGTATGGCAAATGCACCATTTAGTGCTAGGTTTAGCCTTCCGTACATATTATGATCCATTCGGCCATGAGGTGTTGCAAGGGTTTCTATCTTGCTGCAGACCCTGTAAATACAGGGTTTGCAACACGATAGAAACTTTTGACTGGGCGTTCAATCAAAACGGCAATGTCAGTATTCAGTTTAGCATTGCCAAATGCCACATTTTGAACTTAGTCTTGCTAGTGCTTATGCAATTTAGTATTGCCAGTAGTAAATTTAGTACTGCCAATTTGCAATTTGGAATTGCCAGTGCTTAATTTTAGTTTTGCCAGTACTAAATGTAGTATTGCCAGTACTAAATGTAGTATTGCCAGTACTGAATGTAGTATATATTGCCACTACGATTTTTTGGCGAGGAATTGAATTGGTTAAACTCCTTACTAAAAAATGCATTTTGACATGATTTTGGGCTTCTAGAAGGGGGGGTAGCTCTGCAAGTCCACAATCACCCCCTCAGTAGACGTCTGGGTCCCGCACAAGAGTAGAACAGTTTCGGACAGAGTGTCGTTTGCAGTTCCAGGGAAGGATCCAAAAAGTTTCTATCTTTGTGCAAGCCCTGTGTTTTTCAGGCCTTGCGGAAAGATAGAAACTTTTGCTACGGCCCATGGCCCAGAAAAGTCAAAGTGCTTGAAAGTACCAAATTGAGGATTGCCAGTACTAAATTTAGTATTGCCAGTACTAAATTTAATATTGCCAGTACCTAATTGTGTGTCCCCTTAGTGTTGCAAGTAATAAATTTCCTTCTACCAGCACTGAGTCCAGCATTGAGTCGCAAATGTGGTAGTATTATAATAAAATTGGTATTGTCAGTATTAAAAATACTTTAAATTTGTATTGCCGGCACTTCATTTTGTATGGCAAATGCACCATTTAGTGCTAGGTTTAGCCTTCCGTACATATTATGATCCATTCGGCCATGAGGTGTTGCAAGAGTTTCTATCTTGCTGCAGACCCTGTAAAATACAGGGTTTGCAACAAGATAGAAACTTTTGACTGGGCGTTCAATCAAAACGGCAATGTCAGTATTCAGTTTAGCATTGCCAAATGCCACATTTTGAACTTAGTCTTGCTAGTGCTTATGCAATTTAGTATTGCCAGTAGTAAATTTAGTACTGCCAATTTGCAATTTGGAATTGCCAGTGCTTAATTTTAGTTTTGCCAGTACTAAATGTAGTATTGCCAGTACTAAATGTAGTATTGCCAGTACTGAATGTAGTATATATTGCCAGTACGATTTTTTGGCGAGGAATTGAATTGGTTAAACTCCTTACTAAAAAAATGCATTTTGACATGATTTTGGGCTTCTAGAAGGGGGGGTAGCTCTGCAAGTCCACAATCACCCTCTCAGTAGACGTCTGGGTCCCGCACAAGAGTAGAACAGTTTCGGACAGAGTGTCGTTTGCAGTTCCAGGGAAGGATCCAAAAAGTTTCTATCTTTGTGCAAGCCCTGTGTTTTTCAGGCCTTGCGGAAAGATAGAAACTTTTGCTACGGCCCATGGCCCAGAAAAGTCAAAGTGCTTGAAAGTACCAGATTGAGGATTGCCAGTACTAAATTTAGTATTGCCAGTACTAAATTTAATATTGCCAGTACCTAATTGTGTGTCCCCTTAGTGCTGCAAGTACTAAATTTCCTACTACCAGCACTGAATCCAGTATTGAGTCGCAAATGTGGTAGTATTATAATAAAATTGGTATTGTCAGTACTAAAAATACTTTAAATTTGTATTGCCGGCAATTCATTTTGTATGGCAAATGCACCATTTAGTGCTAGGTTTAGCCTTCCGTACATATTATGATCCATTCGGCCATGAGGTGTTGCAAGAGTTTCTATCTTGCTGCAGACCCTGTAAAATACAGGGTTTGCAACAAGATAGAAACATTTGACTGGGCGTTCAATCAAAACGGCAATGTCAGTATTCAGTTTAGCATTGCCAAATGCCACATTTTGAACTTAGTCTTGCTAGTGCTTATGCAAT